GGGTGCCCCCGGCCTCTCGGCCTGGGGCTCGGTCACTCAGGCACAGCTGGGGGCCGGCGGAGCTCACGGGCGCGTCACTGCAACTCCCCCTGACTTCTGCTCCGCGGCTGCTGGGCGAGCCCTCATCTGGGACTCTCCTCAGCTCTTACTGGGACAGTGGCGCGGCTGCCCCTCTGTTGGTCTTCCATGGTCTCTTGTGTTCTGGGGGCCTCTGGATGTCTGGAGTTTTGATCTCCTCCATACCCACTTCACACCCTGGAGGACGGGGCTGTGGCCCCCCCACACTCCCTAGCAGATCATTACATGGAGAAACCTTTGGAATGCAAGCATGCTGATCCACACAGGTATGCACACATGGGTATTCACAGACGCGGACTAAAGCTTTCTTGGCGGCTGCCTCAAAGCACACTGTGCGCTGTCTATCTCATTCATTCCCCCTGTCCTATTTATTAAAAAAAAAAAAAAAAAAAAAAAAAAGACAAAGGATGAACTGAAGCTCTGCCATCACGTAATGTCGCATACTGCTGTTTCTGATGTCATTTAGAGAAAGAGAAAAAAAAAAAAAAAAAAAATTCAGTTTATAATAGGGTTCATTCGCTCGGTCAGCAGGTGGCGGTATCCTCGTACACTGGGGAGTAAACTGCCATTAAACGAACAGAAGAAGAAGAAAACATCTGCACATGCGCGGTACGGATCGGGTAGACCCGATTTGTACGGTCAGACTTTACACATGTGCAGTAAGGATCGGAGAGTCCTGATCCGTAACTTTCTTTTTATTTTTCGTTTTTGTCTACATTGTACTGAAATGCTTCATTATTGCAAACATTTTAAGATATACTTGTTATTCTTAACATCTTAACAGATACTCTGACCCATAACTATCGTAAAACGCTACGACCGGAAGTAGAAACCTTTCGCGCATGCGGGGTACCGATCGGGTTTCCGGTACGGATCGGGTAGTGACAACCACCGACTGGCAAAACATCCTCCGGAGCTTCCTGCAGATGTTAAAAGACCTCAGCCTCCTGAGGAAGTACAGTCAGCTTTGGGCTTTTTTAAACAGGTGCTCTGTGTTGCATGATCAGTCCAGTTTGTTGTCCACCCACAGCCCGAGGTACTTGTACTTGTGTGTGCAACAATAAATAAATTGTTGCACACACAAGACCCTTAATTGATGGGCGATCGTGGCTCAAGAGTTGGGAGTTCGCCTTGTAATCGTAAGGTTGCTGGTTTGAGCCCCGGCTCGGACAGTCTCTGTCATTGTGTCCTTGGGCAAGACACTTCACCTACCGCCTGCTGGTGTTGGCCAGAAGGGCCGATGGCGCGCTATGGCAGCCTCGCCTCTGTCAGTTCTATTAGAGTCTTCCCAGCATTTTCTCGCATGCGGCATTTTCAGTCATTTTCCCTTCCTTTTAGGGTTGGAGTCCGAGGGTCTTTCCAAAGTGTTAAATTAAGACGAACACACGTCACAATCCCAGTGTTTAGCACTCTGAAGCCTGCTTTGTGTAACTGTGGCACCTCACCTCTGTCCCCCAATAGGCACAATCTTGGTGATCTAGGTAATTTAAGTGTCACCCAACCCTCCATATGATTTTAAAACATTTTCCCATATTGGGGAGACCAGTGGACATTCCCATAAAGCATGTACTAACGTACATTTTGCTTCTTGGCACTTCCAACACAGGTCATCTTTACTTATAATTCCCATTTTATAAAGTCTCATTGGTGTGTAATAGTACCTGCTGAGAATTTTAGATTGGATACAGTTACCTCCAGCTTCCCTAATGTCTTTTTTGTGCCACTGTGGCCAATAAATTGTTTGTTTACCTATTTTTATTTTTGGGTTATGTCACAGGGGTGCATATTTTTGAAAGTATGGGGAGAGATTGCAGCTCTTGCCGCACCATTTTTGAAAACTTTAAAATAGGGTTATCTACTCTATTCCCTTTATTGTCTGGTTTTTGAGCCAACACCTCAATGGGAGTGAATGGAAAGACCAGTTCACGTTCCATTAGAACCCAGTCTAGGTCTGAATTTATTGCTGCCCAGTGTTTACACAGCTTGCACATTTCAAATGAGATGCTGTACTGTTTTGTGTTGGGTAGGGATAAACCCCCTTCTTTTCTCGGTTGGTACAGTCGACCAGGATTGTTCTGCAGTCTACCACCATCCCAAAGAAAGGGTTTTATCATATTATTACATCTTACGAAAATTTGATTGATTGATTGATTGATTGATATACCTTTATTAGTCCCACAAGGGGAAATTTCATAAGGCTGCCGACCAATTGCACGCAATTGCGGCGCCATCTTAACCTCCGACCATACATACATTACACAAAACATCACATGGGGAAGACAGGTCAGAGAGGTATAACAATGGAAAATGCACCACATGAGGAAAGATAAGGAGAAATTGAGGTGAAATAAACTGGTATCATTCCAATGAAATAATTGATCAGAGGAGCTGCTGCCATCTTTAGCGTATTTACTTTGCCCCATAGTGTCAAGTGCAGCTTACCCCATTTCTCCAAATTAGTTTTAATCCTAGTAAGTAGTTTTCCTACATTATCATTCATAATTTCATCAACATTCAGATTAAGTATTATTCCTAAGTATTTCATCCCTTTTTTTAACACATTGAAATTGAAAGCTGATAATGAATTAGCAATACATGTTTGATATATTGGCATTGCCTCCGACTTATGCCAGTTAATTTTGTAGCCTGATAACTTAGAGAATTCACCAATAACATTTAGCAATTTTGTTATAGAATTGGTAGGGTCCTGAAACACCACCAAACTATTGTCTGCATATAGAAATAATTTATGTTCTCTCCCCCCTCCATTCACACCCACAATACTTGAATCTTCCCTAATTTTAATAGCCAGGGGTTCCAAAAAGATAGTGAACAGGGCTAAGACTACAACCCTGACGGGTAGACCTGGAGATATTAAAAAATGGGGACATCAGCCCATTGGTGAGAACAGAGGCTTTCAGCCCTGTGTCTTAACTCATCTACAAAAATGATCACCAATTCCAAATCTTGACAATGCGGTGAATAAAAAACTCCATTCAACCCTGTCAAAAGGGTTTTTCTATTAAAAAAATAATGAATGAAAATGCAACCCCCGTTTTGACTTTAAGATTTTCAATATCTTTTTCAATATGTTTATTTTCAATAAACTGACATTTGTTCAGCTGCTGAAAAGAGTAAAACATCACAGAAACTAATAAATAGCTGACCTGAATATTTATGTTATTACATGTACTGAAAACAAGATGTAACCGAGTGAAAAACACGGTCAGATGTTTGTAAATGTATTCACAGTGGTCAGCAATCACACAGGAAACTGAATTTATTCAACACTGCATGAAAGTGAGAAATCATAGAGAGACTGGTCTGAGGCTGTGCAGGGACGTGTTTTCTCATTAATGACGTTTTTTTAAATCATCTTTTATTTAAAAAAACCCATAAAGTTTCAATAACGTTTCTTCAAAAAACACCAAACTCTTTGATGTAAGTCTCTGTCTGAAGAGGAAGAGTTCATCCGAAGAGTGGACAGCAGCTCAGATTAGAGCTAACAACAGCAAAACCAGCCGAACATCAGCTGCAGGAGGAGACCAAGGAGAAAGACTTGCGCCTCTGTCTTCAATCGCCTTTCCCGCTTGTCAAATGTGACGAAGGAAAGAGAAGTTTGGTGATCCCAATCTAGCTGCTTCTTACTGTGATGTTGACGTAGCTGCCAAATGTCTGAAAGATGGACTACAAACAGATTATCTTACATACTTTACCCAATCTGTTGTCTGCTAGATAAATAAAACCTGTCAGTTCATTAGATAATAACTGCAAATAAACGGGAGAAAACAGCTTGTAAAGGAAATCCTTTTCAAATGAGATTCTCTCCCTGTTGCAGAGATGATCCAGAGTAACTCCTCATTCATTTGGGATTTCTGTGACTGCCATCAGATTCATCCATGATCGTCCTAAAGGCTGAAACACACCTGACAAAGCTCCTGCAAACCGAGCTGAGAGCAACACTTTATTAAAACTCTTCCTTTTTATTTCTTTTACAGGCCCGTCTTCAGATTTCAGTCAGTAGTTTATTAATGAACATTAACACGACCCAAGTGGAATGGTGTTGGTTTATCGGGCTGGGACAGAAAGCTGTTCATGATTATTAACGATTTGTGTGTGTGTTATAAAACTGTCACTGTGTGACCTTCCTGCAGCTTCAATATTTAAACTGTCAGGAAATAAACTCATTCATCTTAATTAGCATCTTGTCTCCATGGAGATAGAGACGCAGTGAATATGTGAGTGGCCTTGAGCAGAGACCAGGTGTGCACTGGATTCATTCTGTAATCAGTCAGAAGATTATAAATAAATGATGGTAAATGGCCTGTATTTATATAGCGCTTTACTAGTCCCTAAGGACCCCAAAGCGCTTTCCATATCCAGTCATCCACCCATTCACGCACACATTCACACATTATAATGTCACTCGATGCATTTTATTAACCACTGAACTGGTTGCTTGTGCCTCGTGCTTTTATTTAGAAGGGGCTGTAGCATAGTAAGTCCAGCAGGGGGCGACAGAGTAGAAACTTATTCTGTCAACAGTTTACTGCTCACATGATTAAAATAGATTTGAAGTCATTATCGGTAAGTGCAAACAGACTAACCTTAAATTAGTTTAATTAACAGTAAGTTGAAGACCCCGCCCCCAGGCAATGCTTTAAAGGTTCAGACTGGGTTCAAGTTCAGGGTCAAGGTCCTGGGAAGTCCTCACAAACACCAGAACACGTGTGTGTGTGTGTGTGTGTGTGTGTGTGTGTGTGTGTGTGTGTGTGTGTGTGTGTGTGTGATCCTTGGTCAGCTGTTGCTCTTCTTGTCTTTCTCTTTGAACTTTGGCCATTTAGACTCGACAGCAGCTGTCGCCTCTGAGCCAGACAGGAAGAGAAATCTGAAGGTGTGAATACTTAGCGTCCAGGTGGAAGTGCAGTTGCGAATCGGAAAACTTTATTGATATGTACAGACATAAACGTCATGACAACACTTACAGAAGCTTTGTTTTACTGCAGGTCACAACTATCCTCCATCCAACTGACCACTCAGATGGCTGAGACTCATCCACCACATGAAGCAAAAGTTTCTTAACAACAAGAAGACAGTTTGACAAAGTTCACCTGCAAGTGAAGTCTGTAAAAAAACAACATAAATGTATTTTGAGAAGAGACAAAGGTTTTAGGATCACTGAAACTCAGCAGAGTCCATAAAAAGAGAAAAAAGAAATTACTTCTCTTCTTCTTCAGTGAATAAACACTGTTTACATCACAAAAACAGCCTGTTCCTATTGGCTGTCCATTTTCAGTGTAACAGTTTTATTTCTTTTCATTTCCAGGTACATGGACATGTTTTATTAAAAAGGTGTGCAGCAGTCTTTGAGGGGTGTTTGCTTTTATGTCATTAGTGTGTCAGAAATGTTCACCAATCAGGAACAGTGTCAGCATACAGCAAACAAGCTGCCTCAGCCAGTAAAACAACACTTCCCGTTTTATCAACTCTGCAGAAGCTTTGATTTTGCGTAAAGAAAGCACCTGCAGCTGCATTCAACAAACTGGAAGTATTAAGAACTGGGAATACAAACAACTTGTAGGTTGAGTCTTTTGTTGATGAAATGTTAATTAAATAGGTAAACATGTGGTTATATTTGAACTACTTTAACCAGAACTTCTTCACCTGCTAACATGCTGTACTCTCATTGACTGTCAGCTCTTAGGTTCAGGTTAGTAGCACATGCCTGTTATGAATTAATGAGTACTGTCTCAGGCAGTTTCAGATACAATATCAAACACATCCATCATAACATTTGAGTCGATCGAGGTGACTCAGAAACAATCAATAATCAGGGTCACCTGCAAAGTTTGACGTCACACAGGGCATTAACAAAGGTGTTAACCTCTGAACACACCGGAAAAACAGAGTCTCTGCTGAGTTTGTAGAAAGAACGCCAGCTGCAGCTTCCACAGGTGAGAGGAGAAACTGGAGGAACAGGTGTGCTGTCACACGACAGATTCCCTCAGGTTCTCATCTTGAACAAACTCATGAGTGCTGCACGGCGGGGCGGCGCGGAGAACAAACTCGCTCTGAAGCTCTACCCGGGTGGGATGCACCTGACCTGAAGCCGTCTGCTCGTGGCTGCCGCTGTACGGCTGACTCAGTCCTTTAGAAAGAGTTGCTTCTGTCTCTGGTGGCTTGTCCTGTCGTCCGTCCAGCTTCTCTCCGTATTTGTAGGATACCCGTTTGACCTTGCCCCGCTGAAGGAGGTGCTTCCTGTACGCTCTCTGGATCACTGTCGCTGCTACCTCTTCCTGTTTCCTCCGCAGAGTACTGCTGATTGGTTCATATGACTCCTGTATGTCATAATGATCACAGCATCAGAGACAAATAATATTTCTGACAAGCTGTCAAAAATGTTTTTGACAGCTTGTCAGAAACTGAATATGAACAGATAAAAATGCTGCTCTGTTACAAAAACACTGAGCTTGATCTGCTGCATGTTCACCGACACATGAAGAGCCCACGAATCGCCTTCTAAAAATGTCTCTTCATTTCCCATCAGGACAGAAATGTGTTGTGGCCATTTTTGTTGAATTCTTGTGAATCATAATTTTTATCCATTATAACATACTTAAGCTATTTCGCTATTAAAGTCTGTAATTAAAAGTTTAATTTTGGAAAAGTTGTTTGGACCCTCGCATTAACTCAGAGCATGCTTGGTGGAAATGTTTTCCTTGTTGTCAGCTGGTAAGACGGGAGCGTTTTTAAAATGATTTTTTGACCACTCTGTGAACTTGTGGAATTAGATTAACTTTTGTTTATAAGATAACCTTTATTAGTCCCACACTTGGGAAATTTGTTTTGTTTTATAAGTTGTAAGAAATGATTTGGTTCATAATTTTGCAAGAAATAAACAGCATATATTTTTCAAAGAGTCACGTTGGAAGTGCGTTCTGAAACAAACCACCTGCTGCCACCTCAGGCCTTTTCTTGGATTATTCTGTTTGGAAGCTTAAAGGCCGTGACACAGAGGTTAACCATCTTAACCTCATTAGACACCAATCCTAACTCTAACTCTGGTTGCCAGAACATGTAAGTTTTGATTTTATGAGATTGTTTATCTGGGTCTTTGGTCTGACCAAAGAACATACTCATTCTGACTGACACATCAAACATACTTACGTTTTTTGCATTTTTTTTCTTTTCTCCAAAGATTTCTCCACAGATTCATTTGTCACTTGTCATTTACATATATATGAGAGCTTTGTGTGACCGTTAGACATCTCAACATGAAATAAAAATTTAGACAAGCTAAGCATGAAGCTAAGCTATAAACAGGTCTCAGATGTAATAACAGCTTCTACACAAATTCAAAGCAGTACTGAAAGGAAACCAATTACTGGTACTTAAATATGCCCATGTGCAAACTCTCCCAAGAACTGTACATGACACTGGTAAAGACTTTATGATAGAATAGAATAGAACCTTGGATGGGTTGTTGGCTGTGAACTTGTCTTCCATGTTGCCTTTTAGAGCATCCATGGCCCCGGAATCACCTAAAACCTATAAATGTAATATAATATAGTATAATATAATAAAGATCCAATAGAATAAGCTGTAAATGTGAGCAGGTGAGGTTACCTGTGCAGTGAGAGCAAGCAGTATGTCCAGACAGTGCAGCTTTTCTCCGGGTACCAAAGGCAGGTCCATTTGGATCAGGGTGGCAGCGTTGGGTTTGGGAATCCTCAGAGGATCCTGCAGAGCATCGCAGAAGTCTGACAGCTCACTGAGGAACACATTAGAATCCACAGAACTTAACTCTTACAGGTCTTTAGAGAACACCACATCTCAGATTAGAGCCAGACTAAAACACAGGTGGACTCACCTGTAATGTATGAACTGTGAGGCATCGGGGTCAAACTTTTCCCAGGTTTCATAAAACATCTCAAAGTCATCTTCACACAGTGGGTCGCTGCTCTCCTCTGTAGCTACATTGAAGTTCTCCAGGATGATGGCAATGTACATGTTAACCACCACCAAAAAGGACATGATGATGTACGTGGTGAAGAAAACGATGCCTAATGCTGGGCTGCCGCAGTTCCCTCTGACAGTCGTTCCTGGGTTTTCAAAGTCTGGGTCGCAGTCTGGGGGCGTGTTCATGATGGGATTTAGCAGTCCATCCCATCCTGCTGATGTGGTGATCATGAAGAGGCAGATCATGCTGTTTCCAAAGTTCTCAAAGTTAAATATGTCGTCAATCATCGCTTCCTTCTTCACGTAGGCAAAGTTAGACATACCAAAGATGGAGAAAATAAACATGATGAGGAAGAGAAGGAGACCAATGTTGAAGAGAGCAGGAAGGGACATCATCAAGGCAAAGAGCAGCGTCCGGATCCCTTTGGCTCCACGAATAAGACGAAGGATTCGGCCAATACGAGCCAATCGGATCACACGAAAGAGCGTAGGTGATACAAAGTACTTTTCTATGATGTCAGCAAGGAGAAGGCCTAAAGGAAGGAAGGAAGGAAAAAAGAAAGAAGGTGGAAAGGGAAAAGAAAGTATGAGATTCTTCTATTAACGTGTGAATTAAAAAACAAAAATATTAAATATTGTCAGTTTCCTCAAACATGGATTCACCTGCAATGGAAAGTATAACCACCACAAAATCAAAGATATTCCAGCCGACGGCAAAGTAGTGCTGCCGCAGAGCGATGATCTTTAGACCGCACTCTGTGGAGAAGATGATGATGAAAACAAGGTTGACCCAGTAAAGGATGATTTCTTTGTCCTTGCTCTGCTCATCTGTTTCCACCATCATAGTCACCATGTTGAGACAGATCAACACCATGATGAGAACGTCAAAAAAACGTTGGGTCACCAAGTCAAAGACCAGACCCTGAAACTTATTCTGGACACAAAAAATAAAGGAACCATTTAAATCTTGCTCCATCCCAAATGTTTAAATCCTGTTTTCTGCTCACAGGGAGTAATCAAACGGACCTCAGGCCGTGGGATAGGTTTCTGAGGTGTCTTAGAGCCCAGTTTCTTCATGGCGTTGTAATACTTCTTCTGCTCCTCTGTCATGAAAATATCACCTCCTCCCATGTAAAGAAAAAACAACACACAGTCAGCTGGCAAATAGAAATCCAGTAATAAATGATTGATGTCAGTGAGTAAAAACCTATCTTAGCTTTCTGCTGGTTGAAGTTGTCTATAATGACTCCGATGAAAAGGTTGAGGGTGAAGAATGAGCCAAAGATGATAAAGCAGACGAAGTACAGGTACATGTACAGGTTGTCCTCATACATTGGCTGGGATTCCACCTACACTCCCAAGAATGTAACCATGGTAACCAAGATAAAGGTTAGGGTGAGAATGAAAACTGTTGAGTGATGTCATTCTCTGGGGACACTATTTCAGGGGTTAGGGTGTTGCCATCAGTGTTGGGAAGGTTACTTTTTAAATGTATTCCACTATAGAATACATGCCCCAAGATGTATTTTGTAACGTATTCTGCTACTTTACTCAATGAGAATAACGTATTCTGAATACTTTGGATTACTTAATATATTATCATGCTTTTTACAACTACATGAATGTCCTATTGCTGTGTGATTTATTACTATTACTGAAGGTTACTCGTCACACCAACTAGATGTTTAAATCTTAATATAAATGAGTAACAGTAGGTGGACATTAGGTAAGGCTGCACTTTTTGCAGCGATCTCGTATAGAAAACTATTCCACGCGTATATAAAACAGGTCCGCGGCTCCGAACCGTAGTAAAGGGACCTCTGGCTAATACGTCGGGTTCGTGTCGGGCTCGTAGCTGAAAACTAGCTTTACTTTGTTGTCTAGGTCGACTTTGCTAGCAGAGACAGAGAGAGGCGTTGAAAGGCTGCTGCAGCAGAACTTATTGTTTCAGAGGAAAACACGAACACGGTGTACAGTCGAGTCTTAATAGCTTACTTACAGCTGGGCTCGTCAGGCTCTCTGTTTGGCTGCAGTGGTTATTATTATATTTACATGCTTCCAGCTCCCGTTTCTGCTTGATGACAGCTCGTACCTTTCCTTTTTCTCCCTCCTCGCGCTCACAGACACATAACGGGTATGGCAGTCCATTCTCCCTGCAGCACAGACTACACTGCCCATCAGGCTACATTCTTTAGGGCTATGACTGTAACACTCTGCTATTGCATTCATATTAAATCATTTTTTGAATAATACATTTTAAAATAATATTTCTTCACGTTATTATGCGGACCACAAGTAGAGGTGACATGGGCCGCGAGATAGAGACATAGACATTTGAGCCTCATAATGCGTGTTTTGTTTGGGTTTCCACCGGCGTGGAATTACCAAAAATAGAGAGAGCATAGCCAAACATATGAAACAGGAAAAGACCGCCATGTAATCCATTTATTTCAACAAAGTAACTGTATTCTGAATATCATCTTTTAAATGGTAACTGTAACAGAATACAGTTACTCATATTTTGTATTTTAAATACGTAACACCAGTACATGTAGTATTCCATTACTCCCCAACACTGGTTGCCATTAGATATCTGATTTCCTTTCCCGCCTAAAGGGCATTGTTTAGGAATCCAACAAAATGAAATAAGCTAAATTGTTGTGATGGCTTAAATGTTTTTCTTAGGTTTACCCGACTAACCACAATAACTCAGAAGCAACGAAACGTTCTGACATGAAAAATTCTCGTCCCTTTCCGTCAGACTTCATTTTTAAATACACAAATCTGCTCACAAGTAGGAGATCTGTGCATCGGTATCAGCACAGTCTCAGTAACCGTTTCAGTACAACTGACCTCTCTTGAGTCTACTGCTGCATACATGATATCCATCCAGCCTTTAAATGTGGCCTGAAAGACAAAAGTCCTGAACATCAGTTTCAGCTGTTCATCTACTGCAAGAATCAGCAGGTAAAGACCCACAAAACATCATGACAGCAATATCTGATCAGTGAGGTCAGTAGAATTATTCTGTATTGATCTATTGGGTTATTTCTCTGTGAAGTCACAGGTGTTCAGACTAACCACTTGCAGCAGAGACAGGTAGCCCATTCCAACATTGTCGTAGTTGATCTTCAGGTTCTTCCAGTGGACCTCAGTGAAGTTTTCCTGAATCAGAGCCAAACACTGGGTCTTGTTGTCAACCCTCTCAGGGAGAAACAACTCCTCCGATGTCTCATTGAAGCAGTAATAAAACTTTCCTGCAAACAGGTTCACGCCCATGATGCCGAAAATCAGCCAGAAGATCAGACACACAAGGAGGACGTTGAAGATTGATGGGACTGCTCCAACCAGAGCATTAACCACCACCTGCAGTGAGAAAGCAACCAGTCAAACACAAATTTACTAGCACCCTGAGACCCTCTTGACAGGGTTGTAGACATGTGCTAGCCCCACCTTCATCCCCTCAAAGCGGGAGAGGGCTCTCAGGGGCCTCAGAGCTCTTAGGGTCCGCAAGGACTTGATGGCTCCCAGCTCAGAGTATCCTAGGATATTTGCTGTTAGCGACACCAGAGACACCTGAAAGACAAATGACACTGGTGGTGAAGTCAGAGTACTAATGTCCTCCTAAAGTAGACTGTTACGCCACAGGGTGTGAGGACCCCAGAATAAACACTTTGTTCTGATTTAAAACAAGCTGTGCATGAACAGAAGTCTATATGAAATATTCAGATTTATTAGCAGTTTAGACATGAACCTGGAGGAATGGAAACCTGTCATTACTGTGGTGGAGTCTCCCTAATGAAGCTTATGCACAAGTTCAATAAGGAATATCTGTAGTCACATATCTGTCTGTTTTCCCGGCATTGCGGCTAATCTAGGCTTTCATTTACTCTCCCACACTGTGCAGCTGATTTTGACATCACTGCTCTAGTCCAGTCATCTTTTGTCCAACCTTCTTCAGGCCAATCAGCCTTTGCTGTGGGTACTATAAATCTCACTGTGTACCCACTCCATTGCAGACCCCTTGGTACAACCCTCCTCCTCCCCATCGACACCTCTCATGACTCAGCCTCCATTCAAGTCTCCATCTTCATTTCCACCACCAGCGTCAAGATTCCTAGGGGTCCAGCCCTAATCCCTATCACCAGTGGGATTCCGTTCTGCTGTGATGGGCCATTGTAGTCGAACCACCAAATACCTCAAACTGAATTCTGAACATCAATAAATTATGTTCAAATCCTTCTAATGATCTCTCCTTATTAAACTATATGCAAGTGTCTGGGGAGACACCAGGGAGCCATGGACATCCATGTTTGTGTCTGTAGAAACCCTCGTTTTGTTTAAAATATGTGGAGGTAAGGCAGAGGTCTTTAGCTCCACTCCAGTGGAGGGGTGGTGCCGCGGGCTCAAGGGGCAGTGCCAGGAAAGTTCCAGGTGGCGGAAATGAGCTTGATGAACTCTTTTCCTTTTTTTAGAGACATCGGGGACTGGCAGACAAGTGTGAAGTACATGAAGCATTGTGTGTTTAACTTAAGCTGCAAAAACACTAGGAACAGTGACTGAATGCTGTGTGGGTCAAACAGGCAGACTGTTGTTGATTCAGTGAAATTGAAGTAGAATTTTTAACCTCCCGTGTTCACATTCCTGTTTATAGAAATCTGGGATGTTTCATAATGTCTGTCAGTTGTATCATAGAAAAACAAAAGATAAACATCAACAGCATCTTTGGTAATCATCCATTCTGTTCTTACATCTACAATGAGGAAGTCAAGCCAGCACCAGGCGTTGGTGAAGTAGGTCTTGAATCCATAGGCGACCCACTTGAGAACCATCTCCACCACGAACACGTAGGTGAACACCTGATCCGCATACTCCAGGATCGTCTTTATGACCCGACGCTGCTCCATGTAGATATCTTCAAAAGCCTGTTTTCAAATCAGCTTTAGTCACCACATGGAAAGGAGTTCACTGTGTAGTGCATCTGCTTGTAGAGTGATATTTATTAAAATAAACCAAAACAGACATTTTCAACAAGATTAAAGTGCTTTCTACTAGAGATGGACCGATCCGATATTACGTATCGGTATCGGACCTAAATTACTGGATCGGATATCGGAGAAAAATAAAAAATGTAATCCGATCCATTAAATATCACGGAAGCACCTCACAAAACTTGCAACACGCCGTAACTCACCTCAGAACGTTAGCACGTCGGAGCAGTATGCATCACGTGATAGAGCGGCTGTGGCATGCGGGACCTGTCGGTGGTCTGGATAGCATGTGGAGCTTCGCTAGCAACCTGGCATTTCATCTCCGACAAAGTTATCCCGAGAGAAGTAAAGCAAGTGTGTAAGTCCATCTCTGAATGTTTGTAAAGCATTCCTGCGTGAAGCTTAACGAGCGACTGCCTCTCGCTCTCCGGCTGCTACTTCAATCATGAAACTGCTTAACGATCAGCTGATCGGCTTTTCTGTCCGAGTCCGTCTCTCTTGTTTGCTTTTGGCCCACTTTGCACCAGAAAGAGGAAACCAGCGACTGAACAACAGCAGCACGTTTAAGCTTGATCAGCTGTTGTTAGAATTTATTTATTATTACTTTCTACACCAGGATCTTTTTCTACATAGCTGACGGCTGGTAACTGTGCAGGGGCGGATCTAGCAAAGTTTAGCCAGGGGGGCCGATAGGGCATGAACAGGGAAAAGGGGGCACAAAGACATACTTTTCTTTCTTATTCTCATTTAAAATGTCTAGCTTTTAATAAATAATTATCTGACACCCAAAGTTTTAATCTGATGTAAAATGTATAGAAGTCCATTATTGTATATAGTAACTATTAAGTCTAATATATATACCCTAGTAAGCTATAGTACTTTTTCCTTTGGGAAGGTACCATCTGTGCAGTCTGCAATTTTGTTGAAGAAAGATGTTGAATCTATTTAATATTTCTTGAAAAATAATTGATTTCTGTGCATTTTTTTTCACACTGCATCAAATTAAGGTTGATTACATCGATTAAGCATCATGAGGTGGAGCGTGAGGGGTGGTTCCCTATTTTTTATTTATTTATTTTTGTTGTTGCTGGGAGTTGGAACCCTATTAGTTAGGTTGCTTAATATTTATGCTAAGTACTTTTTAAAATACCAGAATAGTGAGGATGGTGTAGGTTTAAGTTTATTAGATTGATCAGTATTGCTGAACTATGAAATTTTTTTTTTTGCATACAGGTATAACAGAATAGCTTTAGTGTAGTTGTTGTTTTAAACTTGAGTATGAACTTATACAAAATGCAGCAAGATATTTAAAAAACAGTTTTGTTGATTAAAAAACACTATATCGGATTCATATCGGTATCGGCAGATATCCAAATTTATGATATCGGTATCGGTATCGGACATAAAAAAGTCGTATCGTGCCATCTCTACTTTCTACACTTGATAGACACAAACAGTTTTATACTGCTTTAGTTTATTCCTCTGATAATTTTACCAAACTCATTTGCTAAAATACAAAAAAATGGCTCAACAGTAAAGGACTTGGTTCTTTTTGTCTTAAACGGTGAGTTATTTTTAAAAAAAGGCCTCCATTCTGATCACACCAAAGAGCTCACAGGTCACTTTGGATTGTATCTTGCAGGTATTTTAAGGTAGTTCCAGGTATTCCAGGCAAAGGTATTTTCAAGATTAAGATGGTATTTCTCTTCAGTTTCAGACATCAGCAAACTGATGGTGATGGCACCATCAGAACACTTGTTACAAACACTAAGAGTTTATCATGTCACTCACTCAGGCATTCAAACCTGACCTCTCGGTTAACCTGTCATTTAAATTCTGAGTTTATTTAAAGCCTAATCATCTCAAATGAAAAGGAGAATGGAAGTGCAGAATAATCCGTTTCTGAACAAGAAGTTCCAGTTGCACATTTTACATAGTGAAAAAGTAAAGTTTGAACCTTACCCATTTTTGTACACTGCTCATAAAAGTTAGAGGACCACTGTGAAAACACATTAGTCCTCAATTGGAAAAAAACCACACTGGATATCTGTACCGATAAGAGCTGGGTAATGTGTTAGAAGTGAAAGGATGCCACAATGTTTGATAGAAATTAAAATTATCAACCTACATCAAGCGTGTCGAACTCCAGGCCTCGAGGGCCGGTGTCCTGCAGGTTTTAGATCTCACCTTGGGTCAACACACCTGAATCACATGATTAGTTCATTACCAGGCCTCTGGAGAACTTCACGACATGCTGAGGAGGTCATTTAGCCATTTAAATCAGCAGTGTTCGATCAAGGACGCATCTACAACCTGCCATCCCAGACCTACCTACAGACAACATCCTGAAAATCTAACTAAAAAAAAGGATGCAGCAGGCTGGTCTATTTTGCTGAAATTTTATTGCAGCAACCAACAAATGGCACTCTGTAGTTTGTGTTGTATGCATGGGTGACAATGTCAGAGCCTCTTTCTGATAAGATGATGCTAATGGACAGTCTGAGGTGCCACCTGGTGGCGTTGGATGGATTGAAACATAACGTCCCGGTTGTGTTCTATCACATTTGGGTTAGGCAAGCGTGTGGGCCAGTCAATTGTTGATCCTCTAGTGTTCCAGGAACAGTAATTTCAATAATACGAAAGCAGCTTGAAACTGAGCTTCATAAAAGTTTAATTGACTTGATGCTGAATGCTGATTAAAAGGTGTTTCTTTGAGTTGTCGTGTGTTCATGTAGGGGTATTTGTTATATCTCACCTGTAAAACCTGAAGCAGACATATTAGTAGCCAACATGTGCTTGCCCACACTGTCTCCACAGGTTAGTAATCACTGTACAAATACGAACCAGTCATTTCTGACCTGCTCAGTCACATGATCAAAACAAACCAATCAGCACTGAGAAAACTGAGCAGCAATCAGAATTATGAGGATTAAAAAAACAAAAATATTACAAGCAGAACAAAACATAAAAAACTCAGAAGAAGAAATGAAGGTTTTACCAGAGCACCGCTGCTCAGCAGGATCATGAATATGATGAATGTCTCAAAGTAGTTGTTCTCTACAATAGTGAAACAAGTTCTCCTGAAATTAAACCAGACTTTCCCACGGCCCTGGGAAGTGTCTATGTCCAGGAGTGGACAGCCACTGTAAAACTCTGAAATATCAATTAACAAACAAATGCAGTGTTTGAATTGGCCAATGAAATCACAGCACACATTTAACTTTGCAGTCGGTCCACAAGGAACGCTTCACCTTATAATCACAAACGCTAATGTGTGTCTATGAACGCATGCATGTGCCTACTGTCGCTGCAGCAGTCCACAGGCGTGTTTGTTTCTTCATCTTCCTCCTTTGGGACTTCAGGACGAAAATCTGCAGTACTGCAGACTGATGACATATTGCCCTGAACAAAAAGAGAGCAGTTAAACTTTGATAAAGACAACACTAATACATAATTACTAAAACTAATCCAACACTAATGACATTAATACAGGAGCAGAGCCTAAATTACCTGTGTTTACCTATACTAGCTACTGCATCATGCTGCTGTGAAAAAAGGTCCATAGAATAGAAAGGAACAATAACAGGGATTACTTGTGAGTACTTCTCTTCTCCATCCAGGTCATCTTCCTCTTCCTCTTCATTTTCACATATGTCAAAGTAGGACTCAGCCTCGGCTATTGGGACCCGCAGGGATGCAATGGTATGGTAGTTACTGGTCAGGATGCCATGGTTAAAGCTAGAGGCTTTGTCATGGGGCTCTGGTTCATCTGAGGTCACAAAGGTCAAAGGTAATACCTCCTTCATCATTGTGTCGTCTTCCTCACAACTGACTGCTAAAGTAAATGGACATTAAATCCAATTTAAAGCTTTTTTTCTTTACACATAACACTAATAAACAATAAACATCTGAAACATGGCTTGTACCACTGGACTGGTCTTGGTTGACTTGTTTCTTATTTCTCACTAAAGCCCAGATGTGTTCCAGGATCCAGAACTTGGTCCAGGCCACAGCCTGGTTAATCCGGTTTATGGCGATTTGTAAATTGTTTTCTCCTTCATCTTCTGGAGCTGCTAGATTATCACCACTGAAAGAACTCAGCAACAAGGCCAGGAACAGATTCAGGACCTGCAACAAAAGGGAAAAGCTTTAGAAACAGATTCATGGCCTAAAATAAGAAGAAACTAATTTAGGAACACATTCAGAATGAAAAAATAACAGTTTTATCAGTGAATGCAAGACAGGCACTGCTTGCTCAGTAAAACCTATAAATCAATATCAATTAAACCAAAACATGAAAGCTGTCTCTCGCCTCACATCTCAGTGTTCTGTCACAAAGCTTCTCTCATTGCCTGTTTACGTCATCCTTTGATTTACTGGCATCTTGTGGGTGCATTTAGCTATCATCTCTGGAAGCAGATTTAAATCTACTTGGCCTGGGCTTGGCAAGCCTGTGGAGCTCCAAAGTCAGCTCAAATGAAGTTGGACTCTGGCAGTGTCTGATGCAAAAAACTTGAGTGTGGTGAGAGCATGGAACAGCACTTTTGGACAGCCTCAAAGCAATTGTGGCAAGCTAATGTACAACTCATAATTCCTATTTATGTGTTTTTGTGGATTTGGAGAAGGCATTTGACCACATCCCTTGAGTATCCTGTGATGGTGACCAGGAGAAAAATGGCATTGTTCCTCCTGAACCCAAAATTCAACAAATGAACAGACTCACTCTCCAGTATCCCGACATAGATACTGGAGAGTGAGTCCCAGGGGGTTGAGGAGTGTGATCCCCCTGTAGTTGGAGCACACCCTCTTTTCCCCCTTTTCACAAAGGGAAATGAGAGGCACTGTCCCAGGACTCTACTCAACATTGCAAAGGCGTGTCAACCAAGAGAGCCTCACAACATCCAGAGTCTTAAGGAACTTAGGGCAAATCTTGTCCACCCCAGGGGCATAGCCACGGACCAGTTGTGTGAGTCATCAGACGGTTTATCAGAGTCGCCATGAGGCCGTCAAAAAGTGCTGTTCCATGGTCTCACCAAACTCGTCCCACGCCCAAGTTTTTGCATCAGCCACTGTCAGAGCCCAATTCGTTTAGCCTGCCAGCACTTGTCAGCTGCCTCTGGAGTCCCACAGGCTAACCAAGCCCAATAAGACACCTCCTTTAGCCTGACAGCTCCCTTGATCTTCCGTGTTTCCCTTGCAGCCGTAGCCCCTTGCAGTAACCACAGCAATGGTGTGGAGGTGTGGAACATGATCTAATGGAACTCAATGTCACCAACCTCCATTAGAATGCCTTAAAAACTCCGCCAGAGGTGGGAGTTGAAGAGCTTTTGGATTTGGGCCTCTGTCAGACGTTCCTAGTGCACCCTCATGTTTGGGTACACCAGGTTTGTTTAGCATCTCACCACCAGTGCACCAATGTGCACCAATGTGCATGACAAATATCCTTGGGCAAGATACTAACCTCAGGTTAATTTCTGATGCATCAATGCATGTGAATGTTAGATAGAAAGAGCATGGAAAAAAAATCTGCTGTGAATGGTTGATGAGGCTTGTGTTAAAACAAAAACGCTGGGTTTATCGTCTTTGCTTGCCTTTCTGTAAATGTCACCATATACCTTTGACTTTCAAAACCTGAAACAATAAGAAACTGATTTGGGAAAAAGCACTTTCTAGTCAGATACTCACCACCAGGTTTCCAATAACCAGGACCATCATGAAGACAATCAGACACATGGTCTGATCCGACACCTCCATACAGTCCCACATGGTCTCGATCCACTCACCGCACAGCACCCTGAAGATGATGAGGAAGGAGTGGAAGAAGTCATGCATATGCCAGCGAGGAAGCTCACAGTCCTCTGCAATGCGACAGACGCAGTCTTTATAGTTCTTCCCAAACAGCTGCATGCCGACGACAGCAAAGATGAAGACAATGATGGCAAGAACCAGAGTCAGGTTCCCAAGAGCCCCCACCGAGTTCCCGATGATCTTTATCAGCATGTTCAGGGTTGGCCAGGACTTGGCCAGCTTAAATACTCGCATCTGTAAAGGTGAAGAGGCATGTGAGATAAGGGTGAGAAGACAGACTAGCACTAATATCTGGTCCATTAGTGCTCTGGTCCATTCGCACCAGAACCTCTCGCCATAAGAACAGTTTCTTCCCCTCTGCTGTTGGACACATGAACAATAACCATATGACTGTTCCCACCACTAACACATGACCCTACGCTGTGTTCACTGCATCATTCCATGTTTGGCACTGATCACCACCTGCACTCATGTATATATCTTTCAACGTAGCACTCTTAATTCTTATTCTCATGTATATATCTCATGTATATCTCATGCACATATCTTTCCACGTAGCACTTTTAATTCTTATCCCTACTTTTATTTTTTTCCATGTCTATTTAAGTGCTATTTATGACACTATGTTTGCACTGAAGCACCGCAGCAATTTCCTAATGTTGTAAACCTGCTCAACATTTGGCAATAAACCCCATTCTGATTCTGATTCTGATTCTAATATCATTTTTCATTCACTTTCTGAGTAAGTGATGATGGTAATGACAATGATGATGATGATGCACTGACCAGTCGGAATGAGCGTAACACTGATAGGCCCTGAACGTTAGCTAATCCCAGTTCAACCAGACTCATGGTGACAATGATGCTGTCAAAGATGTTCCAGCCCACCTACAGCCATGACAAAAAGTACAAAAATGTTACTATAGGAACAGTTGTGAATCATCAGTAAACAAACGCAAAGTCTGACCTGGAAGTAGTAATACGGGTCCATGGCCAGAAGCTTAAGGACCATTTCAGCTGTAAAGATACCTGTGAAGACCTGGGGGTTTAGAGGTGAGGGGTCAGACATCCAAATATGTTAAGATCTTTACTGTGTTTAACAGAGTGTAACATTCATGTGAGCTGAATGCATCTAATCAGGATCACATTGTATGACTCTATCACTGACCAGATTCCCAACACTCAGCAGCTCCTCAAACTCCTCTGTCATTGGATAATGCTCCATAGCCATGAAGACAGTGTTGAGGACGATGCAGATGGTGATGGTGAGGTCCACAAATGGATCCATAACAATGATGAAGAGCCACTGCTTGAGCCATCGCCAACAGCCACAACAGTTCCACTTCAGGAAGATGTCAGCGAACACATACCAACATGGAGGACACGGCCTCTGGTCATCCTCAAATTCTGAAAGTCACAGCTGATTGGTGAAGCATGAGCTTTATTGAGATTTTCTCTAAAGGTCCAGATGTGCACATATCACATACAAATGTCACAGACCAATTAAATGGGATTTATGCAGTGTTCATTGTAAGACAAAGAGCTTCACAGAGGTTATAAGTACAGTGAAGGCTTTCTGTTTGTGTTATGCTTTTTCCCTGCATACTGTCACAAGCCAGAGATCAGAAGTCAAGCGAGATTGTTTAAAAATTTAGACTGAATTTCTATCTCCAGCTGAAGAAGGTTAATTTTCATCTCCCTTGTTCTTGCTGTAGCTATTACTCATTACCACTATGGTTTAAATCTCTCCTCTGGAGTCTTTGTTTATTTCACCTTCTGCTGCATATCAGTAGCTCAAAGTTAAATTCAACCTTTGGTTTAACATGTCTCTGCTGTTTGTGGGAAATACATGAAAGCTGTAATTGATTTGAGCTCATTAATGTGCCTATAAACATTTTAGACCAAATGTATTTGAAAGCAGCTGAACAATTACTATAGACATTTATGAACATTGGAGATGATGCTATTTGGACACTGTAGGTTGGTATTTTCAGCTGCAGCAGCTGTGATTTAAGACAGATGGATGATTGAACCCTCATGTTTATCTGGGTTTATGCTAACTTGGGACTCACTGAGGATGAATTTCGTGCCTCCTTTCACTTTCAAGCCAAAGATCTTTCACGTATAAGGCCAGGTGTTAACCACTACACCACAGAGCCACTGAACACTGTTAGTATAGCACAGAGATTTTACCAGAGACTTCAAAATGCTTTTAAAGAGACTTTACATAGGGACCATTCAAATGAAAACGACCAGCTTCGTTTTTCCCGCAAGGTGCTCAACGTCTACCTCTGAACAGTTTGGCCTGGTTGGTCATAATGACAGGACATCCCACAGGCTCTGTGTTAGAGGTAACATGACACAGGTGTATGTACCTTCCATTGCATTGTGCTCTAGCTTGTGGCTGTTTAAATCTGTAGATGAATTTTTCTTCTGCAGTGTTGGGTCTGCATCCTCTAACAGCTCTGCCGTCCTGGTTGCCTGCTGTAATGAAACAAAGATTCAGCTGTGTTTAAATGATCCTGTGCAAGTTTTCATGCCAGTGATCAGACCTCCTCTTCTCTCCTCTTCAGCGCCTCCAGGATCTGAGCGTACTCCTCCTCCTTCTGTTTGGCTTCAGCGATGGTGGCTTGATTCTGCTCGGCGTACGCCATGGCGACCACAGCCAGGATGAGGTTAATGAGGTAAAATGACCCGAGGAAGATGACGACCACAAAGAAGATCATGTAGGTTTTACCGGCGGCTCGCAAAGTCTGCATAGAAACAAAAGAAGGACAGGTGGGCGGAACTGCTGTATGTGCTTTGGCTCTTGGTTTGTCTCATAATATATAAGATGTATGACTAGGGCTGCTCAATTAATCGAATTTTAATCACGATTACGATCTGGGCTTTCAACGATCATTAAAAATGACTGAGCCGATTATTAGCCCCTCCCTAATTTATCCGCGACACCTTAAAGGCCGGTCCGTGAAAATATTGTCGGGCATAAACCGGTCCGTGGCGCAAAAAAGGTTGGAGACCGCTGATTAAGAGGACCCGAGGGAAGCTCGGAAAGCTAAGCAGAAGTTATTTGGAGAGTGACTGCCGTTGGTTGAAAAGAGAGTTTAAAAAAAAAAACTTCAGTGGTGTTGCACACTATTTTATATTATTTTTTTAAAGTCATTGTTAACCCTTTAAAGCCGGTCAGAGCAGCACGCTCCGTTTTGCGTAACTATTTTTAAATCCCTGTAGAACCTGAACCGTGTAAGCTAGCGCAATAATTTGTTTTGCATATGAAACCGGAGGAGTTGTACTTACATCTGATGCCATCAGCTTGTCCTCGGTCATGGTTTTGTTCCACATATAGCTTTGCAAAAATTGCATAAAAAGCGCTTGCAGGAACAAAAACATAATATTCCAGAAACACGCTTTGCCGTTCCTATCAGCTGTTCGTAACACTTCCCACAGTGAAATGATGCACATGCTGTTTTCTTTGCAAATTTGCATCATAGGATTGTTTTTTGTTTTTCCTGCAATATATAAAAATTGCTGTATCTCCAAAATAAAACTATGAAGACACTCAAAATAAATTTCCTGTTGTTGTAAACTATTTTTTGCAACTTTATTGTATTTAAAGTTTTGAGGGATAAACCTCTTAAATTTCTCCAAGTAGAAATATATGTAAACAAAACAAAAGCGATTTTCAATTTTTTTTGTAGTTTATTGCACTTTTTTGCAATCTATGCAATTACTATGGACTTAATGCATACATATTATTAAAATATGGGCTATAACAGTTGTATTGATGTATAGCAACTTGAAATGCTCCCACAAATGGCACTACAGCATGTAAAAAAAATAATATAAGCTCTGGTGGACTTGGTTCTATAGTAGGTCTTAAAGGGTTAAATAAATATCGTCAAATAATCGTGATCTCAATTTCAGTGAAAATAATCGTGATTATCATTTTTGCCATAATCGAGCAGCCCTATGTATGACACTGTTGCCCTGTTTATGTTCTCATTTAATTCTGCACTCATTTATTTTGTGTTTATTTGGTAAAATGGTAAATGGCCCTTCTCTGTGCTGACGTCACACAGGTGTATTTGTTCTCTTTATGATGTTTATATCTACAGTTATGCTGTTTCAAGCTGTCAAATATTTCAAACGTCACACAAATATTTTTCATCCTAAATTCTGAGAAAGTTAGAAACCGAATGAAACGTAACATGGCAGTGCATCATGGGAAGTCAGGAAACAGACTGTATCTCAAAAATGGATGTAATGTCCAAATGCCATCCCTCAGTTCTCCATATGTTTCTTCCAAGGAGCCAGATTGTCTTGTAATTTAAAAAATTCTCTTGACCAATAGTTTTTCACGTTTTTTCAAGCTTTTTCAAAGTTCTTCTTTTTACATTGGATGTTTTTTCATCCATTTTCAATCCAGTCCTTGTCCCTGACCATTTTCAAATGAAATTTTTTTCTTGTGTGTATTGAGCCTCTGAACTCTGACCTATAAATCATTAACTCATACAAAGCTCTTTACTCAAGGGACAAACCAATGTTGTGGGAAACAGAGTGAAAAGCCTGAAGTATGCCAAATTACACAAGAACTGAAGTGAAAATCAGTCACGACAGGTCTGATGGAGCTACGTAATATTTTAAATCATCATCAGTAGAGTAGTCATCGGCCAGAAGTTTCCATCCACTCATCATGAGCATGAATCTCATAGTATTTTAGGGCTTTTGATGGTATGGGTGAACTGCAGTGAAGGATTGTATGTCACACATCATGAATCACTTTAAAAAACAAGAATTGGATGCAGAGGTTTGTGTACATACAGGCTGACACACACACACACAGTTCCTTACAAATGAATAAACCTACAATAAACACACACACACACACACACAGACACATTATATTGATAAAGAGAGCTGATTTCCCCCATACTGGCTTCTCTTCATTAGCTCCCTGTTTACCCTCTCAAGGCAGGCGTTGCCGATTTGCAACAGTTAAAAACTAACAACCTGATTACCCCACATACATATTTTATGAGTTTGTTTTACTCAGAAGTACCACTGCAGGACTTGGTTGTGCATTAGCAACAAAAAGTTTAATTTGAGCCTGAGAGGGTTACATTTATTATGAATTTAAAATCATGCTCCTCACATACAAGGTCTTAAACAATCAGGTCCCATCTTATCTTAAATGCCATAACAGCATCCTAATAGAGCATTTTGCTGCAGAGTGCTCTCTAATATTGTAGGGTGTCAATTTTCAAGTGACTTGAGATAATTGGTGTGAACTGCTTCTATCCAAACATCAGTTTTCATTAGGAAAGAGTTTAGTGAACTCAAAAGCCAGTTAAGTAGTCGGTTTACTTTCTCGCAGAGACCAAATGGCTCCTGATTGATTGGAAAGTATGCAGCTTTTTCTACATGGAGGATGTGTCCATTTTTACAGTTTGTGGAAACAGCCTATAGTGGACCAGCGAGTTACTGACCAGCTGGAACAGATTTTCCCAGAAGTCCTGAGTCATGAGTCTGAAAAGAGCCAGGAACGCCCAACCGAAAGTGTCGTAGCTGGTGTAGCCGTAGTTTGGGTTTCTCCCTGCCTTCATACAGACGTAACCATCCGGACAGACCCTGGACACATTGTTGTCATCATCTGTGCTCATGTTAACATTACTATTATTGCCATTTACTATTATTTGTATCATTATGTTGACATACCCAGCATCAGAGCTGTTTCCACACAGCAGAGCATCAGCATGACCAGGATAGTAGTAATGGTTCTCTGTGACAGACAGACTGGGGTTACAGCTATGTTCTTCAGAGAAGCTTAATCCTAACCCTTAAAGTATTCCTACCTGGGTTGTTGATGTACTCGTAGAAGTCAAAGTTACTGCTTCCCGTGTTGTTGCTGTAAGTGTCATTGCCATAGAAACTGGTGTTAAGATTACTGTCTGACGTGTGGTTGCTAAGAAATGGTGGTGGCATCAGGACACATTTTTGCCTCAGGTTTCCCATGAAGAGCTGAAGACCAATCAGAGCGAAGACACTGAGGCAGAAAACTGTCAGAATCATGACATCAGCAAGCTTCTTCACTGATTGGATGAGAGCTCCAACAATTGTTTTCAGACCTGCGGATTGGATGGGTGTTAAAGTCTAATCACAAACATCAAAGTCATCACTACAGGGAGACGAAAATCGCTGGTTTTTTGGTGGTTAAACACGTTTTTTGTTTTTTAGGTGCACTTAACATCCAAAATCCAGTCATGTACACACACACTGACCAGGGATGACGGTAATCGTTTTAAGAGCTCGAAGAACTCGGAATGTCCTCAATGCCGACACATTTCCCAAATCCACAAATTCCGTCAAATATCTGGAATAGACACATCATCAACACCTTCATCTCTTATCATCGTCACTATTTTCATAATTTTTTTCACCTTTGTAATCATTCTAATCATCGTCACTTGCATCATCTTCCTTTAATTACTAAATGTTGTTTGAAATTTAACTATGAAGATGGAATATAAATAGCTTCCATCTAAAATAAAATATTTTGCTTTTACAGTTAAAGCTGCTTCTGAGGCTTCTTTTTTTCATTTTGCCAAATAAAATGAAATAAAATTACATCTGAACCGTATGCTGTCTGATTAATACATCAAATGTATGATTGATTATTACGCCATGCTGATGACCATGAAGTCCAGCCAATTCCACGGGTCTCTGAGGAAGGTGAAGTCTCCGATGCAGAATCCTCGAGACAAAACTTTGATAGATGCTTCAAATGTGTAGATGCCTGTGAACACATATCTGTTCAACAAGGAAACAGAGAAAATAAAAAACATAAAACTCATATCAGCAGGGTATTATAGCAGCACAGCAAAATCCCCAACTGGACTTAACACTGGATTTCTGACCATTACATATGTCTGTGTAGGTATCGGTCATCCAGGTCATGGTGGAGTTTGGAAAGAAAGTGACAGTTTTGTGAGGACATTTCACCTCTCATCACCTGACCATCTCACTCAGCTGATCAGGTTGGCTTGTATAGCAGGTACTAGTGATATTGTGTACATGATGGATGCATCACGTCACCCACTTGTTTTCTTACTCTCATGTCTCCATCACTCTGGAACAAGGTAAACCTGTACTCATCAGACCAAGTGACCTTCAGCACCCAGTCCTTGTGCTTTGTAGCAAACTAAGAGTTGCCTTCACATATACGCATGCTCTTACTTTCACGATTAAACAGGATTTCCTCTGCTGAAGTTTTACAATATGATCAGGATTTTTTTCTTATCACATTTCATGGAGGGAAATGAGAGTTTACATATATTCTTCCAGCAGAAATCAGGTTGCAGAGTGAAACGAGGAAAGTAAAGGAGAGCTGTAACACTTAATTATGATTTAAATCAAAGAAACTTTGATTCAGTTAGTTTAATGTTTGATTATTGTTTTTATGTGTCATGTGACTTCAACATGGTACTGTAACCACGTGCCTGGGGCGAACTAAACAACCAAATGACCAAAGCTGCTGAGACTAAGAATCGCTGCTGGAATACAAGAAGTCAAAAGAGGGAACGTGGGTAGTCCAAGGGTTTTTTCCAAAACATTTCCCTCAGAGTGTCATGGTCGCTGTGTGGCAGGCAGGATGAGGACCCAAAATGCAAACTCACGGACTCAGGGGATAAACTCAAAATGCAGCTTTATTGCCGACAAAAGATAAAAGGAAAACTAAACTGGGAAAAACTAACATAAAGTTCACCAGGAAACACAGGGGGAATCACACACAGCATGAGGGAGAACGCGACGCCGAACAGAGGGAGAAGCAGACAGAAATACACAGAGGGTTAACGAGGAAAGTGGGAACACACGGGGAACACAGCTGACACAGATAACCATAACGAGACAGGGCGGGGTGAACATAACACTGACGGGAGACGGGCAGAGTCAAACAGGAAGTACAGAGGTTCAGACAGGAGGAGAGAGAGCACGGGGAAAACACAGACATAACGGGCTGGGGAAACATGGAACAACCACAAAGGGAGACGAGGGCTCATAAATACACAGAGGGCACACAGGGGGAGAGAGAGCACGGGGAGAACTTAGACATAACGGGCAGGGGAAACATGGAATAAAACATAAGGAGAGGCGAGGGCTCACAGATACACAGAGGGGCACACAGGGGGTAAAAGCCACGAAGGGAAAACACTTAGGGAACAACACAACAGGGCAACTCAGGAAACATAGCCTAAATAGGGAACAAAATACAAACATACAAGAAAACTAAGAATACTGGGCCAACATGGCCCAGGACCATGACACAGAGCACGTTTTCCAGCTGTTGCAGGATCTTTCTCTCAGCTTTCTGAGAATCTCTGTGCTCACTGATAAACATGTCACGTGGTGTCATAGAGACATCTGCAGAGACCCACCCACGATTATACTCCAGGGTCTCAGACAGCCACAAAACATGAAAAAACCCCCACACAATAACCTGAAACGTGATGTCACTTTAGAGAGAGAGAGAGAGAGAGAGAGAGAGAGAGAGAGAGAGAGAGAGAGAGAGTGTGTGTGTGTGTGTGCGCGCGTGCATGAACTCACTCGACTGTCTTGCTCCATGCTGGTGGGTCACTCATCGTCATAAACGCACAGTTGGTCAGAATCGTTACCATAATGAACAGACTGAATAAAGTTTTATTTGTAAGAAAAAAAATGTCATCCTGTTGTCATAAAGGCATACTGTGACATTATGCAGGTAGGGTGCAAACTATCGTAAAGGATATGAATGAATGAGGACCTTGATGGCTAAGATCCTGAGTGGGTTGAATGGACTCAGCAGGTAACAGGCGGGTTCAGCATTAAACCTGTAGATCACGTTTCCTTTACTGAGCACAATGAAGGTCTGCAGAGAGACAGACAGGTGAGACACAGGTGACAGGCAGACAGGTGGTATGGTGTTTCTCACCATCAGTATCAAATGATAACATGTAGACTGGTTGGGTAAAGTCCCACACAACCTCAAATATCCTCGAGAGGATAAAGAACTGGTCCATTGTTTCAACCATGACAAAAACTGCTCCTCCTGAATCCAGTGTTCTAGTAGCAAATGAACTCTTGTCTCTGGTACCCTGACATAAACAATTCCAGGAAAACTCAAGACGCTGTATAGGTGGAGCATCCACCCTCCAGTTCTCTTTCATAATGATGGGGACCACCTTCCCAGTCTGCCAATCCAGAGGAACCATCCCAGAGCTCCACATTGTGCTGCAGGTGTGTCAACTAGGAATGCCTTACTACTCAAGCTTTTCACAATGAGTACCACCTCATAAAATATATGGCTCTTGGAGTACTATCCTTATCAATTACATTAAAGTACAGTAGTATCGGCCTAATAAACACCAGATACAGTTTACACAGACAATTTTCTTATGAATGTTATTTATTTTAACTGTCATAAACAGGATGTGACGAGTGATAATAATAACAACTGTACTGCATTAAACCATTCACAGAGGGTGGAATATCCGATCATTAAGTGATGACCTGATGAATCCTGCTTCTGGGTCCAAACTACTCTGCATTTATTAAGGCTGTTGTGTTTTTAGCGTGTTCTCTTTGTATCTTGTTTTATTTAATCTAAAACAGTCAGTGATCACTGTCGGCCTCTCTCGGATTTTACCATTACTATTCATTTTTTAAGCTCAGTTTTTAAAACCTTACAATGTAACTACAGCCCAGCCCATGCAGCAGTATGTTAATGACTAACCTTCTATTGCAGTTGTTCTCCTGACTGAAAATTGGTCCATTAACAGCATCCTGCCATGTGATTACATTTGTTCCTAACCATCGGGAACCCTCTTTGTGTGGAAAAAAAATTGCATTCGTCCTCCAACTTCAGTCACTGCTGTTTGGTTTTCTGTCTTCATTTACGTTGACAGTGAGAGCACTGCTGGCTGCGAAGGTTTACCACTCACTTGCAGAAGAAGCAGATCACATTCTCCTGGCTACCAGGAGCTTCAGCATCCAGGCGATAGTTCCCGACTTACTGACGACATCTCCCGCGCCCCCACCAATTCTCCCGGGGGCCTCTGACTCATCGATGGTGGCTGGGAACGTGGCACCTTGGCACCGCAGAAAAGGGCTGTGTTTTTACCATTAGCGTGACTGCCCTACAACATCCAGGGCTTTTAGAAACTCATGGTGAACCTAATCCACCCTAGGAGCCAGGCCTCCAAGAAACTGCTTAACTGTGTCAGTGACTCACCTCTAGTAATAGGCTAACTAAGCCCAATTCCTTCCCTTGTTCTCAGACTCTGCTAGCTCTACAGAAGCTATGCCAATAGGATTCAGGATGCCCTCAAAGTATTCCTTTCTATGACCAAGTCAGCTGAAGTAAGCAACAACCCACCCTGCTATAAACAGTTTAATTCGAGCACCTCTTTCCCCTTGTGATATTTTGCTTCATCTATAGCCTGAGTTCCCCTTCGCCTGTCGGTACCTGTCAGCTGCCTGTGGAGTCCCACAGGCTAACCAAGCCCAATGGCCCAGTGGCTCTATTCCCCTCTGGTGTCCACAATGTTGATTAGGGATCATGAGAGGTATCAACTGCTTTGCAGCTGCATCTCCTTGCAGCAGCCTAATCAATGAAGGTGTAGAACATTTCCAGCACACCCCCTTGATATATTTGGGTGTGCCAGGTGTGTCTGGCATCTGCCCCTGCTACCTGATCCAACTCACCACCAATTGGTGATCAGTTGGCAGTTCAGCTCCTCTCTTCACCTGAGGGCTCAGAACATATGGCCGTAGATATGATAATACAATTACAGAAATGTGTTGTACACTTATGGACATCCTTATGTTCAAACATATATTTCTTTAAACAAAAACACCTTCTTCGACTGGTAGAAAGGATCCAACTCTTCCAGTGGGGTGTTGAGAAACTCAGGAGGTGGGTCTCCATATATAAGGGGAAGAGGTTTTCCGGCCTCCAGGTCACTGGCTGGTTTAGGAAGATCTTCCTCTGCAATCTGTGGCACAGCCAGAGTATGGATTATATGTTTTCAGAGTCCTGATTACTTATCCTTAGCTGATCAGTCAGTATATTATATACCTCAATGTTGTTCTCCTTTCTTATCTGACATTCCTTTTCTTCAGCTTCATGGCGCCGTTGGATTTCCTCCAGTGATGCTGGTGTGAATCGTTTAAAAATCTCTGAACCAATAGGGGGCAAAAGAGGTGCCATGTTGGCATCATGCAGAATCTCCTGAACTTCCCTAGTTCACCTGTCACCTGTAGGGAAAGAAAATGCAGGGGATTTAAGCCCTTCATTAGAAAGGAGCACCATGATGTCACGGTGAAACTAACTAAAAGCGAACTAAGTCAAACAAGAACCACAAGAAAAATGTGACTGTAAATAAAGTGTGAATAATTATGAGAATCAATCAGAAAGTTCACTGGTAATCTGAAATGACGTGACTATTAAAAATACGTTCTACCTTCCTGCCTGGAGCGCTTAAATGTTGTTCACAGCTCAACACTTTCTCTCATATTTTAGAGTCTTTACCTTGGGCCGGAGCTTCCTGCCGTCATGTGGTAGTTATAAGTAAAGCTAAATCAAAACTACAACATTAAATCAGAATGCAGTATCTCACTATACTTCACTTGAGCTTTCATGTTTTCAGTGTTGCTGGTGTTGACCCCACCCTTGCGTTACTATGGCACCAGCAGCTGTTGGGAGTCATCAATTTAACCCTTGGGTGTAAAATTACAGTGAGTACGATGACCTGGCTCATTCCAACACACACACACACACACACACACACACACACACACACACACACACACACACACATCCTTTCAGTGTTTCTACATGATTTTCTTTCATACCCTCTTCACCTCTCATTGAACCCCTACATTGTTTTGTATTTTAGCTGGATATAAACTCATCCACCGTGACTCCGACATGTAGCATGTTATAAAAACTTCTTTCAGTGAATATAATCATCACTATTGATCACACTGATGATTGACTACATTTTACAGTAGACTCAGCAGAGAAACTGCATGTCTCCCAGCTCGTCTGTCAGCTCAGTGACTCTGCTGGTTCCCACAAATATTAGGCTACAGGAAGCTTAATAGAGACGCTCACACACACTTTGAATCAGTCCAAAGAATTCATTATTACCTCAAACACTAAGTAACACCTGTGTTAAAATGTTGTTTCATCACATGTAAGAATAACAGATTTAAAATAAATGTAATAACTTTCACTAACATCAATCAGAACAAACACATTTAAAGCTTTGTTAACATTCAGCTCAAAACATTAACTCTCATTAAAAGTGCCACTGCTGTGGAAACACAAAACACACACACACACATGCACATTCATGAACATACAAACACATGAAAGCACAATAGGTCAAATGTAACCACAGAAAATCTGATGATGGCACAAAACCAGGCTTACAGTGAGAGCTGCTGTAGCTGCGTCCTCTGATTTAACCTGAAAGTGTGTGTGTGTGCATTTATATGTCTTTGTTTGTCAATGTGTGCATGTGTTTGTGTGTTTGTGTGAATGTTTGTGTGTCCATCAGTGACATGTCATTCAGCCTCTTGTTCTGGTGATAGCCGGCGCCACACACAGACTGACAGACAGTAATGTTTTGATTCACCACAAGATGGCATCAGAGACCACTTTACATCACTTTACATTCACAGTGACCATTTTAAGTAAAAAACCCATTATGACTAATAGTAATAAACATAATTCATGATAGATTAAATCTGACGTCTGTCCAGACTTTGTTATTCTTTAGCTCCTGTCCCGTTGTTAGATTTAGCTGTGTGTATTCCCAGGTGTCTCTCCTTGGCCCTCATCAGCTCTTGTATTTATTCCCTCAGTTTGCCTTAGTCCATTGTCACATCATCTTGTTTCCTGCTTATCGTACCTCCTATTTTGTAATTTTCCAGAGTTCAAGTCGGTTTCCTAGCTGCCAGTGTGTCTGTTTTTTTGGCATGTTGGTTTTCCATCAATAAAAGATTATGTCATTTGAATGCCTGCCTAACTAAGAGGTCTTCATTAAACCTGACATCCAGAGAAGTTCTTAAGTCCCCACATGGTTTGATCGTGTTCTGGTCCTAATGGTGGCAGTGAAACCTCACTGTTAATGCATAAGGCCGGAATTCACAGCAGTATGAGGACCTGATTCGTGACGTCTAACACGGATCAAAAAAGTCTATTTATATGCAGATGACATTCTGATTTTGTGTTCACATCGACAACAAGCAGTTTTCCAGCACAAATCTTCAGCCTGTGAATCCAGAATATTTCATAAACTTCCCTGGAAAACATTCAGCTGCAGAAAAGGAAAAAGGAGATTTTATCAAGCTGACTGAGCTTCTTAAAGGCTTTCCTTTGTCCACAATCGAATCCCGTTTATCTGAAAAACTTTTTTTTTACACCTTTAAGGAAGGAAAGGAAAGTCTGAGTGACTCCGAGAACAAAATACATAAATCAGCTCACACTAACACTATCAGAGGGCACACACCCACAGATGCATTAAAAGCAGAAGGACTTTTCTCTATCGGTGTGACACAACATCATCACACCCTGCTGGAACAACAACACAGATAACTCTGCGTGTGTGTGTGTGTGTGTAACCATAGCCTGCAGAATGCTGTTGGATGTGCTCAGTAACGTTTGGTATTTCCTGTCTCCCTCTTGGCTCTGTTGGTCTTTGAGCAGGAAGTGAATGACAGACTACAGCTGCAGATGCCTCCTACAGGCAGGGGGTGCTGTTCCACATTTCATTTTAAAGAAACATTTATTCAGTTATTTGGGAACTTAAACATCATACCAACTTGAACATCATAACAACCTGTTCCCCAAAGAACAGTCTAAGGTGTGTGTGTGTCTTTAAGTCTTTGTAAATCGGTGAGCAATATTTAAACTATATCGACTTTAAACAGCACAGCGTGTGACCACAGAGCACCAATATGAAACAGCTGACTGTCATGTGACTAATGTAGGGCCTGTCATTCAGTCTGAATTTACCACAATTTGCAGCAATAATAACAAATACACACACACACAGAGGGTTTCCATACTGAGCTCGTCTTCAGATCACCTTCTGTTGGTGCTCACCTCACTCTTTCTACTGATCCAAAACATGGAGGACAGAAAGTGACCACATGACAGAAACAAAGACTGCAGTCGTGTCCTGAGACTTGGAGCTACCTGAACAATCTTCATGTGAGAGACAGATGGGAGCTCCGATATGTGAGCGAGCTGCCTTCTGTTGGAATGGAATCATTTCAGTGTCTCACTCACTGTTTTTCTATTGCACAGAGTTAGAAGACTGTGTGATGCATGAGTACAGAGCTAGCCTATGTCTGACATTGCACACTAACGTTGACTTTCCCGTTAGAGTTTCTGACTCTTACCTCCGTGACGTGGTTTGCTTTGTGCAGAACCGTCGCTCACTGTTTACCACAGCTGTTTGAAGTTTTTATATTATTAGTAATGTTTTGTCTTTCTGTGTGTCATGATTGGATGGCTGGAACCTCCTGAAGATCTGAACAGCAAAGCTCTGCAGTCATCTACTTAAATCAATTCAGAAGTGCTGATGGCTGTTTTTGAACTGTTTAACGTCACCCCAGCTGGTTTGTGGTTTGTTGCAGACAAATTTGTCTTGTCTGAATATTGTCAGTGTCAAATTTTGCTGTGTGAGTTTCTCTGATTGAGACGTTCCCAAGT